ACTTTGAGAGTCGGTAATGAAATCGGCTCCAGCGGCTCCAGATTCCATTCGCGAGGTACTGGACACGCCTCAAACGGTGGCGACAATACACATCAGCACTCTAGAATTCTCCGGGGTGGAAGAATGTCAATATCTTACTAGGGGAGAGTGGTTCTAATGAGCTTGTTGAACTAACATCAGTGTATATAAGGGAACAACTGTTCACAATGGCTTCTGCTTCAACGAGTGTTCTAAGCAACTCATCATCAAGCTACTTACCATGTGTTATCAGTAAAGCAGACAAAGCGTTTCTAGCAGGTCTAATCATCCTCTTCTGAACTCCGCTCATGTGGCTGGAATGAGGAATGTTCATTTCGAATGTCACCCATACACAACCGTCCTTTAAAATCTCATGACACACTCTCTCGTGACTCATCTTTGCCAAAGCACATAGTAATTCACCCTTTGCACCAACAAAATTAGTTCCTCTATATGATCGAAGTTGTCGAACTGGTCCATAGCAACCAATAAAGTGGCGGTAGGCATTCAGGAACGAATCAGTACTTAGTGAATTAGCAGTTTCATTGTGGATTGCAAGCGAGCTCAAACAAGTGAAGAGCACACCATATCATTTTAGTTCATGGCGTTCTTCCTTTACGTAGACAGGTCGAAAATAGTCCACAGCACTATAAGTAAATTGAGGTATGGGTTCTAATCTGTCTCATGATAGATCTACGTAATTTACAGCATGGGATGCACTTCCACGTGTAGGTCGACACTGTTGCTCTGGAAGCTATTACCCAGTATCCAGAAGCACGAATTTCGTTAAGCGTCATAGCACACCCAGAATGTCCCCTTCATTCATGGTGATGTTAACTTGTGACATGACATTCCTTAGGCAATAACACTGGATGGGTAATATCTCTAGGAAGATTGGCTTTTTTATTCTCCCTCTTACCCTGAGTATTTCACATTCATTGCGGTATGGATCCAGTTGGAATAGATTGCTTACTTCTTTAGTGAGCACTTCTTTCGGCTATTTCCACCCGTCGTGGTACTTGAGAATTATGTATTATGGAGAGTCTGTAACTCTTTAGAAAATGCCTGTTGCTGTGTTAATTTGATGATTTCCTGCTCAACCTTTGCATTTCATCAACATCATCATGTATGTAGTATGTATGTATGTATGATATCTTTATCATTTCTGCAATGATTTTAAGTCTTTACAAACTTTCGATAGCTTAACACTTCACTAGTTTCTGCTTAAATCGTAGACATACAGCGATTGCTCGCTTTGCTTTATGCCAGCTCGAAAAATATTGCAGTCTTGTCTGCATGGCTGTCGGGTTTGACCTTCGTGACCAACACATTTACCTTTTTGACTTCTGGGTTGTCAGGTTTAAGATCTACATGGTTGGTTTCTGGTACAAACGTCGCTGCTGTCGATAGGAATGTTGGTCTCTTCCACAATAAAGAACTCTGGTTCAATTCCTTTGCGCTGAAGGCTCTCAGTGCTATGTCTGCAGGATTATTTTGGTAGCAATGACTCGCCATTGCTCTGGAGATGTGAAATCTCTAATTAGTTGAACTTGGTTTGACACAAAGATATGAAAACGCCTTGCCTCATTTGTTATGTTGCCTAGTGTCATCATACTGTCAGTCCAATATGTGTGAGATATATCTTCATAATGTAGCTCTTTGGCCAGGAAATTGCTCACTCTTACAGATGTCACTGCAGCCGTTAGTTCTAATCTAGAACTGGTGAATAGCTTCGACATGGTCACTCTGGCCTTTCTCATAACCAAAGAACAAGAAACTCTGTTGTGTTCATCCACCAGTCTCAAATAACTGCACTGACCATAACCTGACTTGCATCACAGCTGTAGCTCAGCTGTCTTCAATTTACCAAAGCCTATAGCATCTATGAATATTTAGTTTTGAGAGAAGAAGAAGTTCTGCTCACCATCGATCCCATCTTACTTTGATATTAGCTGGAATTGCATCATCCCAGTCAGCTCCATCTCTGATTACTTGTAAGTATCAGTAGAGCTACTAATCC